GAGACCGGAAGCTCTTGTGCAGAATCACATGATAGCTTATCTGCAGCCACCAGCAGATCGTCTCCTTGGCACTTGGACTTGACACCCGATGAGTCATTGCAGAGTCACCTAGGGAGACAGGGCTGCTTTGGCTGCTGTTTCTCATATTCAATTACTTGAGAACAAATTGGAATTACCTAGTCAGCAGCCATTCTTTATCCTTTGCCGCTTGTTTTCTATGCTTCTAGCTTCTTCAGTTAAGACTGCTATCTTTTGAAAGTATGTTAAGGTTTTTTCATGACTCTGTACATTTAAACATTAAAATATTTTTTACAAAAAACTCCTGCCTGAATAATGTTATAGGAATTCATGTTATAGGAATTCTAAGGTCTCAAATATAGAATAAATGTTGATAATTGCACAAAGTAAGCACACATACATAAGTATATAAACTACATGTCTAAAATAGTATAGGAGAGCAATCCAAAAGCCATCTTGGCTCTCCTGAAGACTCTAAATTTCCCCTGCCTCCTGAATTCCCCTTGCCTGAGAACAGATAGCAATCAGGGGAAGTTCATGAAGGGATTCCTCTTCTATATCTATGAACCTCCTTTGTATCAATTGTCATTGTTTGCCCATATGCTCTGCATTGAGGGATGTCTGACAGGCATCCTGATTGTCTTATCAAATGCTATTGTTCTGTGTAAAGTGACAAACTTATGTAAAATTTGCTAAATCCTCAGGAATATCACACCTTGGCCTTCCTGAGTCACAGTAATCCCACTTTATGTGTGATATAATTTCTAACTGTTTTTAGAGGGGATGTCCTGCTTCTCTATGCCAAAATGCAAATCCTTAAAAGAGATTTTCTTCTTGGTTCTGGGCCTCTCTTGCCTCCTTGCTAGGAGGGGAGGGAACTCTGTTGCAACAGAAAATAAAGATTTGCCTTGCTTTCACTGCATCCTGCCTGCCTCCATCCATTCATCTCTGACCGATCATGGACTTAGGGGGCTCAGTCCCTTGGGGAGTTGGGCAGCAAAAGCCAATCACCCCTATTTTCCCTATATCAATATCAACAGTGCTCCAAGCAATTCTGAAAACATGATAGTAGTGTGGTCCTTGCCCAAGGGGTATAATCTCTGCCCTAGCAGACAAGATGCATAGAAGAAAGGCCTGAGATTTGGAAGGCGTGTCTGTAGCGATACAGTACAGTAAATGCTTCTTCCTGGAACTGTCAGTTGAAAAGGCTATGTAAGGCATTCAGTGAGTTTGTAGGCAGTGACTCGTTCAGGTTGGGGATGTTTCCAGCTTTGATACCCTGGCCTTTTAATAGCAAATCCTATGCATCTTTCATCAGAAGTAGGTCTCACTGAGTTGAGAAAATAGAGTTTGGAAGCTGGGTGGCACCCTCTCATGCTGGTCTCCCACCCATCCTTTATTTCCCTCTCATGTCACTCCCTTGTATCACATTGCTGTGGAAAGGGGAGCATGTACCAAATGGATGATGAAGTGACTCCCTTGCCTTGGTATGACCCTCTACATAGGAGAAGTGTGTAGTGGGAGAGCTGGACACAGGGTTGTGTTTAGGTAATGGCTGTGTGCTCTCTTGTTCCTGTCAAGTGGGAACACCCCGGTAACTGCACCTGGAGGAGGTGCAGGTGCTGGGAGGTTGATTTAGATCAGTTTTTCAACAACTGCGGCAAGAGTATTGTTAGCCCAGAAATGGAAACAAGAAGAAATTCCGACAAAAGAAGAATGGCAGACGAAATTAATGGACTATGCAGAATTGGACAAAATGACAGGAAGGATTCAAAACCTGCGGGACCAGAGATTTACAGAAGATTGGAAGAAGTATATGAATTATTTGAAGAGCAACTGTAATCAACAAATTACGCTAGTAGGACTACAAGAAGTTCTGTAAGGAGAAATATACGCAGTGTTACAAAGTAGAAAAAGATAGAGATATTGGTTATGAGTTTGAAATGTAATAGGGAAGATAAGAAATGCATACTGAGAGATTAGATTGGGAAATTTTCAGACAGGATTGATGGAAGTCAAAAATTTGAATAAGATGTAAAAGTATTTTTAATTACTGTTGAAAATGATATGTTAAAAAAACTAATATATATATGTGTGTGTGTGTATATATATATATATAGAGAGAGAGAGAGAGAGAGATCAGTTTTTCTCAAACTTGGAAAACAAGTCCTGCTGTAATTGGACTACAACTCTCATCATCCCTAGCTAGCATGACCAATGGTCAGGGATGATCAGTTATATTCCCACAGCAGCTGGGGACTCAAGATTGAGAAACATTGCTTTAGATAAAGGGTTGTTGAAATTGAAGTTTGGTATGCCTTCCTGAATTCTTCCTGAATTCTTTGGGAAGCTGTACTAGTGAAAATTGCTTGATAACACCTTTGTTATCAAGTTGTTACTACTTAAACATTCCTGTTAAGGCATACAAAAATATAATTGGGCTTACTGTGTGGATGGTCTTAATGGTTTGGGAAACACTTGCTATTTCACCACGAGTCTGTACAGGAGTCAGGGTTTGTCTCCTTTGTCTCCGTCTGAACCACCAGCGCTATCCTGTCCTTGAAATGGAATGTATCTCTTCCCTAAAAATGGAATTTCCCCCTATGATGCTGAGGTGTATAATGTAACAAGCAATCATTCAAGCTAACAATATTCTTAGGATATCTGTGGCCTAAATTGCTGGCCAGCTTTTGTTAGCTGCACAAAAGTAATATTCTGCAAACCACCCTGAGACTCCCAGGCATAGGGCGGTATATAAATTCAGTAAATCGTCATCGTCATCATCTACACTGCCACACTTAACTTCAAATATTTGAGCAAAGTCCTCTGTTTAATTCTGTTCTTTGGCTATCTGCTACAAATCTGGATATGACAAATCACCTCTTTCCTTGTAGACTTGTCTTTCATACAGTCCAGAGTACAGCTGTTTGACATTCACAGTGGGATGAGCTGTGTAGTCCCTACTGCTACTTAAATATATTTGGAGTTTTGCATTGCGCCGTTTCAAAGGCTCAGTGCAAGTAAGTATGATGGGATTTAGTATGGAGCATCTTGCAGGCTTGCATGAGAAAACAAAATGAAGGGTTGTATCCATTCAAGAGTATAGATGCATTAAAATGAATGAACATGACTAACTTGCTTCTGTTGATTTTGGTGCGATTGCTCTCGCCAAAGTTTGTTGAGTAGAACTTAGATATCACTCTAATATTTTTGTAAATAAGTGAACTTAGCAAGAAAAATAAATAGAAAGCTATAGCAGCAGGATTGTACACGTTTTTTCATGCAAATAACTATACTGTCATGCAAATATTACTTTAACCCCATCCTTCCTCCAAATAGCTCAAGGTGGCAAACATAGTTGCCACTCCCATTTTTATCATTGCAGCAATCCTGTGTAGTAGGTTAGGCTGAGAGGGACTTACCCAAAGTTACCTAGTAAGCTTGCGACTCAGCTGGAATTTGATTTTTGTACTACCTGGTCCAAGCTCTAATCCGTACATCACACTAGTTATAGGTGTTCTGCAGCCATAGCTCTAAGAAAAAAGTAACTTCTCCACACATTATTTACATACTCTGCAAAAGTGCAGCAACTCTTAACCATATCCTAAATGAAAAGTTATGTTAGCAATTCTAGACTCCAAGGAACAAAACTGTTAAAATAGAGCCAGCTCCAGACTTTCAACTTGAAATATGTCTGTGAAATGTGTGGCAAGCATAATGAGGGCGGCATTGCCCAATTTAGATGTTGAAACAATGCAAAGAGGTCATGTTAGGCTTCTGTAATTAGGCATAGAAACTCTCAATCATGACTCAGCCTGGTTTCTGCTTCCCTAGTGCCAGGCTGGACATTATAGGAGCAAGTCCATGTTTTGCTTTGTTTTAAACATCACATATAAAATGGGGATATGATTTGTAGAGCAAAAAAGGTTCATGGGTGAGGAGTATAGAATGCTCTTCTCCGCACCCTTAGCTCAGTTCCCTGCCCTCTTCATCCTGAGCACTGTTTTTCCTAGCCAGGCTCTGGTACTAGAAGTGAGCTTAACTGTAGAAAGATCATTTGTGGGATCAGATGGCAGAAAGTGAGCTATGCGCAGAAGAAGCATTGAGCATCTCCTTTAGGTACCTATGTCATTAATACATAAATTTGTATTTACATTGAATAAAGTGGTACCTCTGGTTGTGAACCAGATCTGTTCCGGAGCCCTGTTCGCAACCTGAAAGGAACGCAACCCGTGTCTGTGCATGCACGGGTCGCGATTCGCTGCTTCTGCGCATGCGTCTGATGTCATTTTGTGCATCTGCGCATGCGTGAGCGGCGAAACCCGAAGTGACCCTTTCCGGTACTTCTGGGTCACCGCGAGACGGAACCTGAAAACACGCAACTTGAAGCAAACGTAACATGAGATATGACTGTATCTAGTTTGGCCCTTATCCCCTTGACAAGTATTATCTAGCTTTCTGGGGTTTGTTTGTTTGTTTAATTGTTACACTAAGGTAAGATATTGGGCATAAACATTGGGTGTAATCTGTCACAGTGTATTAATTAAACAGGTAGCAAAGTTGATGTAATATGCTTTATTGGAGTTTCTAGCTTTTTGTTACATGAGGTCACCTTAGTTCCTACAAAGGCCCCTAAAGAACAATGATTTAGCTGACGTAGAATGTAGGCATGGTTTGAAAAGGACAAGGAATTCCTTACTCTCTTTCCCAGATTCTTGTCTGGGTCATGACTCAGATGCTGGAGCATCTTTTGAATGTGTTTTTTTCCAGCTCTGCCTTTCCCTGTTTATAATGCTGCCCCCCCTCAATTGTTAGCCAGGTCAAGCAACCTCATATTTGAGGTTATAGTCAGCACTCTATGCAGAATTGTCTGCCTGTATGCAATAGACTGTCCAGTCACACGCTTCCCTGATTGGCTCAAGATTGCTGGTTTGAATAATGAACATGCTAGTGTTAGAAACAGTGATTGGCTGAGCACTGCTGCAGTGAGAATGCAGGCTGGATGCTCAGGGCTTCTGTTCCTTTGATGTGTATTGGATGAGCTGGAAGCACAGGTTAAATCGCTACAGCTGTCTAGAGTGAAAGGATCTGTTATCCAAGCTTTCTAAGAGCAGTGCCTTTGCATTCCTTTGTTCAGGCTTTCTGTAATGTCTAGCATCTTTGCTTCATGCTAGGAGACTTGTGCTTTCCTCTTTCATTGTCTATTAAACTGCTTGTGACGCCAGACACGACAGCAGTACAGCAATTTTGAAGGCAGGAAGCGGCTACAACCCTTCTGGCGTTGCTGTATTTGAAGCACTGCCGCGATGCGGTTCCCTTAAGAGGATACTTGGTAGTGCATTCACTTTTTTAAATCGCTGTCTGCAGTGACTTCTTTACCAGGGCTCTAGTTGAAAGATAAGTGATGCTGCAGTCCCTCTGGCAGGTTTTTTCTTGCCTTTTTTCGAGGGCTGCATGTCAAGGCCCTGCTGAAGGAAAGGAGAATGAGGCAAAGGAATCTCCAGCTCCCCGCCCTGGGGACCAGGGACCAAAGATGCTGGGGAAACCGCTCAACAAAGAGACCAATCCCACTGAAAGGAGACCAACTATTCTATTGGTAGTTGGACCTGCAGAGCATTTCACACAGGTATTGTTGCTTTTATTCACCACCATCCTTCCCTGTGGGAATGACTTTCACTAGCCTAGACAGGTGTGTGTGAATGCGATGTGGCTGTAAAAGATAAAGGATGTGGGATGCTAAGACTTGGTTGTGCGGTTGGAGGAAAAGAGAAATAGTGAATACCGGTAGTTTGCCTCTTGAAATGTTTGTTTATGGAAGCGGCTTGATGGCAAAGCTATTATTAGGGACAAAGGTTGCATTAGCGCTGAAAGATTATATTACATAGGTGAATAATCTATATTATGGAGTGGCAGAAGTTATTTTGATAGAAACTGGGATGTTAAATTTGGTGCATAATTTATTTTACTGTGCTTGTTTGTTTAAAAGTATTTCTAAACTGCTTAATATTTAAAATCTCCAGGCAGTGTTCAAACACATTTATGGTTGTGTTTTGCAAAATAAATGGGATTTGAAGCTTCTGGCTTTGTTGTATCTTTAGAGGCACTCATTACAATAATTGTGGAACAAATTACGAAGCTTTGAGAGGGCATGATACTGGCACTTTAGTTGAATTGTGTTTGGCTACAAAAACCTGATATTGTATTCAAGTTAAGAGTTGACTTCATTGTAGACTTTCAAATGTTCATCTCTTTGTACTGTAGAATGTTATTTGGAGAGAGAGAGAGTGTGTGTGTGTGATAATGTGAACCTTTTATTTCTTGATATGGGAACCTGCCTTTCAAGGGTGAGGGGTGCTACACGTCTTACACAAAAGCTGGAGGGCCACAGATAACTTTCCTCTATAGTCTATGCAATTTTAAAATTGTCACTTGCAGGGGGATAGAACTGAAGCAATCATTTTTTTTTATAAAAAACACCTTTAAAATAAATGTGAAATGATCTAACCCCACAGCCAGTAATTTATTGCTTAGATTTGTTAGTTTACATGATAGGATAATTTATATATTAGCAGACTTGTGGTTTTGAAAACTCTGGTTCAGGATCCAGCAAGGGCAGAAATTGGCAGTGTTGCTGGTCTTTAAACTTGGATGCTTCCTTGAAAAAAGGCAAATTGGAAAAAAATGTAAAATCTTTACATCCAGACTTTATCATTCTGAAAGCTATTCCTGGCATCTTTTCCATTGAAATTATCTTTTCCTGTAGGGTAGAGCCTTCATTAATTTTTCAAGCAAACAAGCCACTGTTCCAGATTATTCTTTCTCGAACTATCATTAAGCACACTAGATCTTTGTTATGGGCTGGGGAAACATTTTTTTGTGAGTGGCACAAATGCTCTTGGTTACTATTGGACCTTCTTGAAGGTTGTTCTTTGACAATGTCAGGCTTGGAAAGTCACATTTTTGGCTGGAAAACAAAGTGCCTGCTTCCATATGAAATTCTGGAGGCTTTAGAAAGCAGGAGGCTATTGCAAGCAGAGCCTCTTCTATTGCAACACTCAGATTTCAGAATGCCCTCCTTAGCCAGCTCCATCAGTCTTCCTTGTTAAGTTCTAGGCACCAAGTAATAAAACCAGTTTGCACAAACTTTAGTATTTGCACTCTCTCCCCGCAACCCACTGTACATTACTGTTACATTTTTTGTATAGTTTTAGTGTAGTAACTTTATTATTATTAGCCACATTGGACATTAGATTTTATGAAAAGACATAACATAAGTAAAAAACATACACATAGTGTGTTAGAGAACATATGTGGCAATTAACATGCTTTCTTTTATTCTACTTTCTAGATAAAATGAAATGAATGCTGCTAGTGTAATGTTAAACTGGGGAAAAAGTCCCGCCTGTTGCTCTTGTTCCCCTGGATACGTTAGATGTTCCTTAGCTATGTTGGCGTCTCAGCTTGCAGTTAGAGAGGAACTGTGCGCTCTCTACAAGAAAACTTAACTAGGGAGGAGGGGTTTGAGAAAGGAGTCAAGCAAAGAAGCCATCGGTTAAAGGCTTCAAAGATTCTGGGACTACAGTGGTACCTCGGGTTAACACTTTGGGTTATAGACTCCGCTAACCTGGAAGTAGCACCTCAGGTTAAGAACTTTGCCTCAGGATGAGAACAGAAATTGCACACTGGCAGCAGCAGGAGGTCCCATTAGCTAAAGTGGTACCTCAGATTAAGAACGGACCTCCGGGACGAATTAAGTTCGTAACCAGAGGTACCACTGTATATGCTTGGCTTCCATTGCTTTTTCAGAGACAACATAAAAATACTACCCTCAAATAAGAAATATAGAAACATTTATTTGCTATAAAACTCTACATGGTTCACATCACCAAGTTTAACATTTTGGGACCTTGATACCTGAAGGTGTACCTCTTCACACATTGTATCTTCCCTTGCTTTGAAATCATTACAGTGGTACCTCGGGTTAAGTACTTAATTCGTTCTGGAGGTCCGTTCTTAACCTGAAACTGTTCTTAAGCTGAAGCACCACTTTAGCTAATGGGGCCTCCCGCTGCCACTTCATCCTGAAGCAAAGTTCTTTTTTTTTAAAAATAAATTTTTATTAAGGTTTTCAAAGTATTACAAAAAGAGAAAATAAAAAGAAAAAATACAAAATAAAAGCAGTTAAAAACAGTTCAGTCTTTTCATAACTTATTTTTCATTTGCCTGTTCCCCGGACCTCCTCACACCTCCCTTTTTTGTATCCAATTCAATTAGTAGGTTCAGCAAATCCTTTCCCTCTTTGTTTTTATCCTAATCTTTAATCTTAATATATTATAACTTTAGACTATCCCGTTAACAATCCATTTTTGCACATCTTTATAACATTACTGCTAAAAACCACTTTACTTCAATCCAACATCATTCTAACATTCATTAATTTTGCAATATTTCTGTAAATAGTCTTTAAATTTCTTCCAATCTTCTTCCACCGACTCTTCTCCCTGGTCTCGGATTCTGCCGGTCATCTCCACCAGTTCCATATAGTCCATCACCTTCATCTGCCATTCTTCCAGTGTGGGTAGATCTTGTGTCTTCCAATACTTTGCAACAAGTATTCTCGCTGCTGTTGTGGCATACATAAAGAAAGTTCTATCCTTCTTTGGCACCAATTGGCCGACAATGCCCAGGAGAAACGCCTCTGGTTTCTTCAGGAAGGTATATTTAAATACCTTTTTCATTTCATTATATATCATCTCCCAGAAAGCCTTAATCCTTGGGCACGTCCACCAAAGGTGAAAGAATGTACCTCATCCTGAAGCAAAGTTCTTAACCCGAGGTACTATTTCTGGGTTAGCGGAGTCTGTAACCTGAAGCGTCTGTAACCTGAAGTGTATGCAACTCAAGGTACCACTCTACTTGAGACTTCCTCAATACGATGATGGCAGGTGCCAGGCACATTTTGCACCTGGTTATCATCCACTTGCAACCAAGTGAAGATGCCTGGGTACCAGGATGGTGCCTGACATCTCCACCACCTGCTTGCCTGAGGACAGTGTTTGAAACTCAGATACATAAGTTAGGGTCCTTAAACCACGGTTACATTGGATCTTGTTTTTACACACTAATACTGCATCCTGCAGAATTCTACCAGTTATATTTTATCTGCATGATCAGAATGAATTTCAGGAACCAAAATGCTTTTTCTGTGCAGCCTGAGCAGGAGCAGTAAAAAACATTACAGTCAATTATTGTCGCTTGTCTTCACTTACCCCATCCCACTGCCCTGCTCACAACTGTGAAGAATATTCTCATGTTATGAATGGTCTGTGTCACCATTAAGAAAAAGAGGTAGGAATAGGCCAATATATATGTGGAATGTCCCTGGATCAAGTGACTTTTCTTTTCTCGGAGTTCTTAAGCTAGCTCGAGGTCGTCATCTGAACTAGCCAGAGTTTTAATTGACAACCAATCACAGTCAATGCATGATTTGAAAACAAGACTTTAGAGCTGTCTTGTCCCAAAATGGCAACTAGACATTCCATGTAGTTGACTGTAACCTTGGTTTAAGGAGCCATTTGGCACTTAGCTTATATATCTGATTTTCTAACATTGCTTTTAAATGCCATTGCAAAATTAGGTAGGGGAAGGTGTTTATGAGTGAAAGGGCCTTTTCAGCTCTGGCCCTTTCATTATTAGTACAGTGTTGTGATTTAGTATTTTAGCTGTGTGGTTTTTAAAATTGCTTCCTCTTATAGCTTAGTGCTGCAGTATTTTACTTCCCTGCTTTGTTTTAGTTTTGACTAAATTACAGTTGTGTTTCTGTAGCATTATAATTGGTGTTTTATATCATTGTGATTTGTCACTGTTACCTTGTACACCACCCAAAAAACTATTGTTATTAGTGGTTTGTAAGCAGAATGAAATAATAGATATCTTACATTAGGGGTGGGGGAAACTGTACATAAAATTATAGAGTTGAAGAGTTGGAAGGGACCCCAAGGGTCATCTAGTCCAACCCCCTGCAATGCAGGAATCTCAGCTGAAGCATCGATGGCAGATGGCCATCCAACCTCTGCTTAGAAACCTCCAAGGAAGGAGAGTCCACCCCCACCCCCCGAGGGAGTCTGATCCACTGCCGAATAGCTCTTACTGTCATAAAAATCCTAGGCAGTATTATCTTGATTCCTCCTTCTTTTATAGCCCTGTTCATGTGTTACTTTCAGGTAGGACTTGGCCCCACTCCCACCACTGTCTGATAACAGCTTTTGTGCTCGCTCAGTCAGTGACATTGCTCTTGCCATCTTGTGGTGGAGATTTTAGTCGCAAACCTTGTGATAGGAAATCTCCACTTGGTCGCAAGGGGGCGATCCTGAGTCGCAAGAAGCGACTAGTGCCTGGCTAATTTCGAACACTGAACCCAGGGAGTCCCTGGCATCATTCACATAACAAAAACCACCATAGGGATATCAAACTTTTCAAAAGTAGGAGATCCATGGCTTGACTTTGGAAAAAAAAGGAGGTCCACAGTACTTAACTAATTGGGTACCACTGCTTTAGAGCATGCTTTCCCAACCTGAGGTCCTCTACGCTGGCTGGGGATGATGGTAGTGTAGTTGTAGTTGTTAT